CCCCAAAACCCCAAAACCCCAAAACCCCAAAACCCCATCTGAAATAAAAAATATTGAACGATTTTAAGAATGTCACAATCGATGGCAAACACTCATAGGAAGGAAGTAATGACTGGCTATACTGGTCATGTTCCTCAAAAGCAGCTTATTTTTGGTCTGACAAATGGTGAAACTGGAAGACTCCTACTAAACAAAGACGGGACTAAGAGCTTCTATAAGGGAGAACACCTCAATCACAAAAGAAAAAGATATAACCAGTCTGAAAGCAAACCTAGGAACACCTGGATAGGAGGTCCTACAGATTGAACTGGTCAGAAAGTTCCTGGGTATTGTGGACACATTCCAGCACTCAAAGCAGAGAACTTGTTTGCAAAATCGTTCGCAAGAGTCACGCATAAGGCAGCCAGGCTTGGCAACAAGAAAAGGTCTGAAGATCATGACAAGCAAAGGTTCCACACTCAGAATAATTTGGAGTACAATCCGTACAACTTCTCTAGATTTATGAAGGAGCCGGAGTTGTTGGAGAATAAGGATTATAACGACTATGCTAAATTTATTGATTCAAGTATAAAAGTTCTGCCAAATAGTAAGTTTTGCAAGTTCGTTCTCTAAATTCCTCTAGATAAGCTAAATCATTCAGTCCAGTATAATGAAGAACTGAGAGTCATGAACAAGAGCTCAAGACTGCCATTTGGGAGCAAGGTAATGGGGAAATGTAAAGCAATGTCTGAGAAGAACTCTGAAATTCTGAAGAAAAGAGCTTGTCATAATAACTCTGTCCAGTATTCAAGCTCAGGGCTGGCAACTGGTTATGGCTCTTTAGGTAATGCCAATGAGAACTCCCCTCTCAGACCAAAATTGATTGAGTCAAAGGTGATTGATAACAAGAAGTTTATGTCTCTATCGAAGGGATTTCAGAGATTGTTTGCAAAAGACCAGAAGGATTCTGAAATCAAGATTCCTATAGCTGGCTATGGAGGACACAGAGTTGGTTACAAGTCAAACAATATTTATGGTAAACCTTTCAGGAAGTGTTCCATTGAGAGTAAGAGAATCCAAAGAATCTTTAACTTCAAGCCAAATTTTAAATAATTTTGCATGCTTAAGAAGGAGTACATTTTGCCAGAGCTTAAACTGGGTATTTTTTACCTAAATCTCTCCTTTTGCCGCCCCTCATTCATAAAATCCTAATTATCTGCCAGCTTATGTCTCGAGCTCAATGCTTTGTCCCTCAACCTCTCTGTGGGCTAACCAGGTATATACAAAATACGGCTATAGAATAAATTTTATTTTGTTTCAACAAAATAAAATATTTGGGGTTTTGGGGTTTTGGGGTTTTGGGGTTTTGGGGTTTTGGGG